TCCAGCCAGCTGAGCCCAGATCTTCTGATCAACAGTTAAGGGTCAGCTCACCCGCCCCCTCCGTCCCTCCTACCGGAGCAGAGAGGACTTTATTTTCCCTCCCCTCAGCTCTGAAGCGAGTCAGTGTTTGTTGGGAGTTTGGTCATGTCTGGTCCGTTGGGTGTCCGGCTGCTGCTGCTGCTGCTGTGGGGCTGCGGCTGCCTCTGGCTCGCCAACCCAACATCTGGAGCGCTGGTCATCTTCGAGGACGATGAGGCTCCGGAGGTAACTCAAAACTTTCAGGTGTAGTTGAATGGTGCCGTTATATGAATTAGTTTCAAAGTCTGCGTTATCTATTAAGCGGAATATAAAACTATATATATATATATATATTATCTTACAAGCTGAAGTAGCGTATGAATCACCCAAATTTTTTTCTCCTCTTATTTTTTGGCAACACATTTGTGTTACAGGAAATGACGGGAGCCACCAAAGTGCTTCAGGTGCTTGGCTGAAACAGTTTTTTTTTTTTTTATGTTGGTGAATATAATGTATTCATTTAATTCATTTGACCAAATCATACTTAAGCGTGCAGAATTTAATTTACGTTGGTGGATATAATAATATTAAGTTTCAGTAATTTAATCAACATTGCTATGACCGAATCATACTTAGGCATGCAGAACTTAAAGTTCTTCTGGAGGGGAAATAAGTTGTAATTTATTGCACTAATTAACACAAGAATTTCAGCTGGAAGGTAATTGTTGCAATTTTGCAATGTTTAAATCTAAATTCCCTGTCTTGTTTTTCTGTTTGCTCTCTGTGTTGCAGAAACGAAGTACAAACGAGGCAATGGTAAGCTCATTATGTGTTCTGTCAACGACAGGAGACCCTTTAACTTTTCGGCGTTTATTCAAGTTGCAACCTCAAACTTCAGTGTGTGCCAGGCTTGAAGTATCAAGGGATGTTCATGTGTTGGGATGGCCCAGTCAAAGTCCAGACCAAAATCAAAATTTACTTGAGCTGTTTTGCGAAGAGGAATGGGGAGAACGAGTTTTAGACGCATAAAAAAAGGAAAGGTGAAGAAATACAAGATTTGCAGCTGTTTTTGGACCAAAATGAGGGAGTGACTCACCTGGGCTCAGCACAAATGCATGCCACACTATTCAGATTTCAGGCTGCATACAAAAAAATATCAACAACCTGCATCACTTTAGCTTCACTGCACAATTCTGTGCTTCTTTCTTATATCTTGAAATCCATTAAATGTTTTAGGCTGTCCAATAAAAAATGTGGAAAAAATTAAAAGGAAATGAATATTTTAGAAAGAGCTGGTACTTTTTCAATGTTTTCCACAAACAAATACTTTCTTTCTCTTCTTTCTTTCTTTCTTTCTTTCTTTCTTTCTTTCTTTCTTTCTTTCTTTCTTTCTTTCTTTCTTTCTTTCTTTCTTTCTTTTTCTTTATTTATTCATAACATTTAGTATGAAAGAAAGTCTTCTGTAAAAGCCGTGGTCCCTTTTAAATATCTACTTTAAGCAAATGTAGATATTTATGTGAGATAAAGCAAAAACTAATGCAAATAATTGTATTTTTTGGAAAAAAACCCAGTGAGTTGGTTGTCGTCATTATTCTCAGTGAGAAGTTGCAGACTCATAACAACACTCCCAGGGTGTAAGAGGTGACGTAATGTCTCCTAAACACCGTTTCCTAGCTACGATGTGTGTGGCATCTGCATCGTGGAAACTGCATGAAATTTTGCAGCAACCTTCTGTCCAAAATAACTACGTTAAAAGATGAGCTCATGACGAACAGAAGCGTGTCAGAAAGGTGCTGGTTTGTCGTCACTTTGTGTAAAAACGGCATCTGGAAGCAAGAGTTTGGTTCAAGTTAGTAATCATTAGTCCTGCTTCCAAAAGCTGCACTTCATGTTGTACTTACCTTGTTCTTGTTCTTGTCCTGAATCTGCACAGAGGGTAAAAACTGCGACTGTGTTGTTTGAAATTAGTTTTTTTTTTGTGTGTGTGTTTACTGTGTTTGTCAACTTAAGATTAGCAAAACCGTTTGCCAAGTTTTGTTTGCACACAAGAGCTCAAACTGGAACTCTTTGACATGTTAGTCAATACCAAAGTGCATTGTACAAGTATTCATTCATTTACCTGAACCTTTCCTCACTCTTTCACCATTCTGCCCAGACTTCCATGTGATTTATTGAGACTTCTCTGACAGACCAACACACAACAATAGAGAAGAGAAACAGAAAGAATACGTGATTTTTCAGTTATTTTACTCATAAAAATCTGAAACGTGTGGCGTGTCCGCGTATTCAGTCCTCTAGAGTTTGTTGAAACAATCTTTTCATGACATTACAGCTTTGCAGGTATTTTTTGTTGCCATTCTTCCTTGTGAAATAGCTCAAGTTTAGTCAGACTGGATGTAAAACGTCTGCTTAAAAACGTGCTTTACAGTCTTACCTCAGATTTTTAGCCGGCTTCATGGTGGACTTGAACTAGGCCAATCTAACACAATGGATTACACTTTGAGCGAAACCATTCCGCTATTAGATTTTCTTCCGGGATGGCCCTGTACTTAGCTCCATCCATCCTTCCATAAGCAGAGCCAAGAAAAGCGTCCCACATTATGATGCTTCCACCACCATGCATCACTGTGGGGTCGGTGCGTTCAAGGTCACCAGAGCATGACCCGTGCCAAATTTGTGACTTCCTGTCATCCTTGGCTTATTTAAAAGGCAATATTTTTTAACTATACAAAAAGTGGACAATATTTTAAGAAGTGTGTGAATCCATAAGATAAAGGATTACGTTGGATTTAATTTAGAAGTATCAGTGTAAGGCATAAGGCCCGAAGACATAAGCAATCCACACTTTTCAGACTTTTTTCTTAGAAAACATGGAATGCCATGTTACTTTCCTTCCACTTCCTAATGTTGTGCTATTTTGTGTTTTTCCCCATCAACTCCCAATGCAATCCAATGGAGTTTGTGACAAAAGAGCTCACAGACTCTCTTGCACATAGTTTCTCAGGCGAACAAACAAAAGAAAGAATTTATCATTCCAATGTCAACAATATGAATGCTTACATTTAATTTTTGGATGACTAGTCTCCCTTGCTCCTTGCCTCCCGTCCACAGGTGGAAGTGCTCAGCGTGACGGTGGACTGCACCGTGACGAACCGCTTCGCCCACACCGTCATGACCTCGGTGGCCCTGAACAAAGCCAACACGTCAAAGGAAATGTTTTTCGACGTGGAGCTCCCAAAGTCTGCCTTCATCACAAATTTCAGCATGTAAGCTAGATTTCGGTTTCTGTTTTATCTCAGACTAAGTTTTTCTGGTCTAGTTTCTAGTCTAAATATCTCAGCAACACTAACTTATGAGCAATTTCTTGGCAAGACGTAGGAGCTTGTTTTAATTCCTTAATAGTCAAGAAAAAGTTCTTGTTCCATTGAAAGATTATTTAATTTATAACATGGAGAAAATGTCTTGTTATGAATGAAATAATCTGTCAATAGTACAAGGGGACTTTTTCCATCACTATTTAGGAATTATTGACTTAAAACAAGCTCCTACGTCTTGCTGAAAAGTTACTTGTAAGTTAATTTGTCGTATTTCAAATGCAGAAAGATATTTAGACTAGAAAGAAGATGAAAATTACTTGGTAAGGTTTTGTGTTTTTGCAGTGAAGCAAAGCAACACATATTTCTTGCATTGTCTTTTGTGTTTGTGCTACTCAGGGAAATTGAAGGGAAGGTGTACGTTGGAAATGTGAAGGAGAAGGAGAAAGCTAAGAAACAATATGAGAAAGCCGTTTCGTCCGGACAGACGGCGGGACTGGTCAAGTGAGTCAACCGAGACACAAACCAGTTTCTTGTCAAACTGACGTTCTTTAAAAGCCACCTGCTGATCTAGCTTAGGGAACAGAAAGAGATACCTATGTGTGTGTTGTTGTTTTTTTTTTTACTGCAGGGCTTCTGGGAGGAAGATGGAGAAGTTTTCTGTGTCGGTCAACATTGCAGCTGAAAGCAACGTGACTTTCATCCTGACCTACGAGGAGCTCCTTCAGAGAAAACTCGGCCAGTATGAGATTCTGATCCGAGTCAAACCCAAAAGTCTGGTCGAGCAGTTCCAGGTGAGTCGCCAGATGATTCATTTTCATTTCCTGCTGCCTCCTTATGATTCGATAAACGTAGTCACCGGGGTCTCTCCCGGAAACAGATTTCGACCAACATCTATGAGCCTCAGGGCCTGTCTCACGTTGATGCCCACGCCACTTTCCTCTCCAACGAGCTGCTCCCCCTAGTGGAGAAAACAGTCCTGGAAAAGAAGGTGCCTCTCTCTTTGTCGTTTTGACTCTTTGAATGACTTTCGTTTTTCCTTCTTGTTTAATATTCAACACAGATCTCTCACTTGTCTTTTTTTCTCGTCAGGCTCACATCTCCTTCTCTCCAACCGTGGAGCAGCAGAGGAAGTGTCCAGGCTGCGACGGGACGCTGATAGACGGCGATTTCATCATCAAGTATGACGTGAACAGACAGGAGAGCATCGGGGACATTCAGGTGCGCTACGATCTCAAATCACAGTTGAGTCATGTTGTTAGTTTGGCTTGCATATATTCGGCCATTTAATGCAAGTTGTGACTCTGTTTCCGTCTAGATTGTGAACGGCTACTTTGTGCACTTCTTTGCGCCCCCTGACCTGCCCAGGGTGCCTAAGAATGTGGTGTTTGTTATCGACAGGAGCGGGTCGATGAGCGGCACAAAGATGGCGCAGGTGAAAACTCTTCAGACTCTTGGGGCAGCCATTTTATTTGTCATTGTCAAACAGCTGTGTTCCTCTAATAACGACAACAGAAACATGGGGGGGGCAAATGACCTGATTTAAAGCTCACATACACCAGCTGTTGATACCGTGTTTCGCTCCGTTTAAAGGGGCAGTGTTATATGAAGTCAAATTATTTTTAGCTTTACATTGTATTGCATCAATATATATAAACATGCCTGGAGTGCTGTTTTTGATTCTTTCATGCATGTTTAAGAAATCTTTTGATTTCCCTCTTATAGCCATTCTGGGTGTGACCCCCTGCCCCCCACTCAGCTCCTTCAAGTAGCAAACACCTGGTGGAACTGCCAAGCTTTTCATATAGGAACTACTTCTCAGTGCTTCCCTGGCAAAAAACATTGTCCGCAGCTCGATGGAAGAATTTTGAGATGACGTGATAAAGGTGGCCCAATTTGAAGGTGCTACAAAACCTCCGGTTTCTGTAAATTCTTGGTTTGTCTTGCATGAATGTGTCGAGATCTCGACTGAGTTGGCCACTCCAGAACCTTCACTTTGTTCTGCTGTAGCCAACGACGGGTCGACTTGGCCTTGTGTTTTGAGACGTTGTCATGTTTGAACGTCCGAAGACGTCGCAGCTTCCGCGGCTGATGAGTGAAAATCCTCCTCCAGTACTTCCTGATGACAGACTGCATTCATCCTGTGATCAATTGTGATTAAGTTCCCTGAGCCTCTGTAGCTCACACATCCCAAAACACCAGTGACCCACCTCCGTGCTTCACAGTAGGAATGGTGTTCATTGTAGGCCTTGTTGTCTCCTCTCCAAATACAGCACTGTTTGAACCAAACCTGAACTGTTTGGCTAAACAGTTCAGGTTTGGTCTCATCACTCCTTGGTGCTTTGTAAGAAGGATACTTTGTGGCATTTGCATATTAATGGCTTTCTTCTGGTGATTCAACCAGGCAGTCCATTTTTCTTCAAGCGGCTCCACAGCCACGCCGCTTTTTTTTTTCCAGAGTTGCTCGCTTCAGCTGAAGGCGTCTATGGGCTTTTATTTGTATCCCAAACAATTGTTCTTGCAGTTGTTGCTGAAATTGATGATTTAAACCAAACACATCACATGTGAGGACGGTTACCTTCAGTAGCAACGTTTGTGTCGACTTATGTGCATGTTTTGAAGGTCATAAATCACAAAGGGAATGTAAACTTTTGATCAGAGTCATTTGGGTAGTTCCTGGTGTCATTATTGATTTGAAAAGACTAAATGCAGTCGCTTCACCAAACTACTGACCACATGAGAAAGCATGTTTGTGTTTTTTTTTATCATACATCTTCTCTGAAAAATGTCCAAGGAAAAAAAAAAAAAATTCTGTCAGTGTATGTAAATTTATGACTCCGACTGTGATCATGAAAGCTGCTGCTTCAGTGCTGGCAGGGGTACGTTTTGATCCCAGAACTTTTGCAGACCCGAGATGCACTGGTGGCCATTTTGGAGGACCTCCATGAAGACGACCACTTCGCTCTCATCCAGTTCGACTCCGCCATTCTGTCTTGGAAGGAGTCTCTCACCAAAGCGACCAAAGAAAACGTGGCCGAAGCAAAGAACTACGCCAGGTCAATCCGAGACAATGGAGGTCAAGACAACAAAAAAGTTTAATGTGTCACACTTCCTGCATTTAATTACCGAGTTAAACAATTGACAGTTTGCCTATTTTGCTTTATTTTGCCAAGCTACTGATATTAACCAGGCAGTGCTGGATGGAGTAGAAATGCTGAAGAGAGACAGACAGGCGAACCGGCTCCCTGAGAGAAGCGTCGACATGATCATCTTACTGACTGATGGAATGCCAAACTCTGGTAAGTGTTTCCATACAGCGGCTTCCAAAAGTGTTCACGTCTCTTAAACCTTTTTCACAAATTTGCATCGTATAACCTGATTTGGCTTGAAATTTTAAGAGACAGACTGAGATTTTAAGCATAAAATAGAAGGAAATAATATACAGTTCTGTATGTATCTTTACAAATAAATGCAAACACATATTGATTTCACACAGAGTCGAGGAGAGCATGACTCTGTGTGCCTTTGTATGAACTGAGCATGATTCTCTAGAGGTGGGTAATTTTTTCCAGGGGAGCCCCGGGCCCCTCTCAGCCCCCTCTTTTGGTCGCCTCTGTGCCAGCAGAGCTGGAAGTCTTTTTGGATGCGTTTCGATAACCTTCACGTATCTAGAAACTAAAACGTTCTCAATTCCTTGTAAAATATCCACAACCCAATCGGAACAGTTGCAGACCATCAATGTGTGGCAGTTTTCAAGTCATGCCACACCTACTTTGACTGGGCCATTTCAACACACAAATGTGCTTTGTTTTAAACCATTTCATTCTAACTCTTAAGCGTCTTTGCGCTCGCCCTGCAACTCCGTCCAAATCAGTATCAATGTTGACCAACTTCACTCTACCTGCTTTGTAGCTCCTGTTTATATATTTTATCTTTCTTCTTCTAATGTTTTACATTGAATATGCATCTTTATATCTGGAGTTTTTTAATGTGTGTGTGAATTAATCTAGGTTGCCTATTGTAAACCAATATATACACACAAGTCGTTGAGTATCTCTAGCACATAAATCCCAATAAACCACAAAGAAGCTTGTGGTTGTAATATGGCTTAAAGGGCTTCGAACACTTTTACTATGCATCATATTGGGAGATGGTACTTTGTGCTTTGTATTTATCATAACACTTTTTGCGTGTGCATCCGAAGGCGTGTCTGACATCCGAAAGATCCAGGAGAACGTGCGTTCTGCCGTTGGGGGAAACATGTCTCTGTTCTGTCTCGGATTCGGAAACGACGTGGACTACAACTTCCTGGATGTGATGAGCAAAGAGAACAAAGGACTGGCTCGCAGGATCTTTGAAGCTTCGGACGCAACTCTGCAGCTCCAGGTGAAGTGTTTGAGCGTTTGAGTTCTGCGTGGCTGAAACGAATCTGACGTTTTTGGGGTGCAATGCAAAAATGGAATCAACTGAAATCTTTTCTGAAATCTTTTGCAGGATTTCTATGAAGAAGTGGCCAGCCCGCTGCTGTTAGAGGTGGACCTGGTATATCCAGACAATGCAGTCGACTACGTGACCACCTCTCACTTCCCTCAGTTGTTCAACGGCTCGGAGATTGTGGTGGCGGGTCGGTTGACGGACAACGACCTGGACAACTTCCTGGTGGAAGTCCTTGGCCAAGGCGTAAGAAATAAACACTACATAACAAAATGTCAAAGGGTTTCGACAGGTCTTCGTCTGTCCCATTTAGAGTAACTTTTCTTTCCTCTGTAGTTTGAAGATAACTACAAAGTGCAAGGCCAGGCCAGTGTTTTTGACTGGAACGTGATGTACCCGGATGAGACTTACATCTTTGGAGATTTCACCGAGCGTCTGTGGGCTTACCTCACCATCCAACAGCTCCTGGAGAAAAGGTCTGTTGCGACCTCTGGTATAAAAAGCGATAAGAAAGGAAATGAAGTACCGAACGCATCAATTTGCAACCCCAACTAGTCCAGATTCACAAGGAAACTCTTCCAATTAAATTGAGGATATTACGAGGGAAACCAGACATTTTCATCTGCTGGTTAAAAAGAGCTTTTTTTTTATATACAATCCAAGTCATTTTTTTCATCAAAGCTACGTCAATTTCTAAAGCAGCAGAGTAAGGAGGATTCATTATAACTTTCTCCAAAACATTGAGATGACTAAAATTACCTTCCAACAAGGGAGGAACGCCCAGATGATGATGTCTGGCTTTTGGAAGCTTTTGATCAGTTTTTTCACAACATTTGAGTGACATGATGCCACACCACCAAGAGCTGGGGGCGTTTGAGGTGTTTCAAGTCAAAAGAAATCAGGAAGAGAAGAGAATCTGGCTCGTTCTTGGCTAAAAATTCCCACAAGTGTAAACAGAAATGCAAATCCTCAGCCGGCACTCCATCGAGGAAGGAGATGGGTTCTGTGTTTCCGCAGATGAACGTAGTTTGGTGCCAAATATCCAAATGAACTGCACTATTCCACCTTAATAGACATAAATTACTTTCTGCACTCATCTGGGCTCATTTCTTTGTGACTGCTACTTGAGTTGTAATGACACCCAATGCGGTTTTGGCCTTTCATGAGAAATCCACTTGCTGAGAAAAGATGTCGACGTGTTTAATCCTGGTTTTCCTTGCCGGTTGTGTCTTGAGCAGTACTGATTAAATTGTATTTGTCAGCCATTGCTAAATAAAAACACAATTTTGATGGCAACAAATGTTTATTTTTTTCTTTTTCTTATCACAGTAAGACTGGTACAGCGGATGAAAAGGCCAATGCCTCAGCCAAGGCCCTGGAAATGTCTCTGCAGTACAGCTTTGTCACTCCTCTCACCTCCATGGTGGTGACCAAGCCCGAAACAGAAGACGGCACAGACAGCCCTCTCATTGCGGACAAACTGACTGAAGGTAAAAAAAAAAAAAGAAGTTTTCCTCCCCTCCAATTTATCCGGTCAACCTTTTGGTGTAGAGTTAAGCATACGTATTTGAAAGGAGCAAACATGTTAATAATAATATGCATCATTAACATCTTTAACCAGATTTTTTTGGTACAACATGTGTTAAGTTGCCCGTTGTTTAATCTTTTTTCACAGAGCAAAGACAGCAAGCAGAACGACTGAGACCAATAGGTGAGACGATCCTTTTCTAAAATAAAGATAAAAAAAAACAACTACTGAGTTTCAGTAATTTATTAAATTATTATTATTTTTTTACTTGTATTTCAACGTACAGCATACTCACGAGGTGCATCGCATTTCATCCCTGCCCCAGTACAGTATGCACCTTCTCCAGTGTATTTGGGTAAGTACATTTCATCCCCGAAGACATTAAAGAAGGATGAAGACGGTTATATTGCTTATGCATTATCTAATCTATAAGAAGGTTTGTCTGAATGTTGATTCGTTGCGATTTCTTAGGTTTCTTGTTTGAAATATTTGTTTTCTTGCTGACAGAGAAATTTTGGTAACACTTTATTTGAAGGGGTGAGCATAAAACTGACATAACACTGGCATAAACATGAAATAATACATGTTATGAACATGAAGGAGTCTGTATGAATGCTTATGACTGTTGTCATGAAATACCATTTGGTAAATAATGACACTTTTAATGCAAATTTGACTCTTAATTGACTTTTAATGTAGGATTTAATGCAACTTAATGCTAAGTGACACTTTTAATGCAAACTTGCATTAAAAGCAGCAGAAGTTTGTTTTGATCTTGGTCTTCTCTCCTATCGTCTGTTAGCTTTAGCTGCTAGGATAAGCTAATTCGGCTTTGTAATAATTAGAGATGTTAACGACAGAACCGAGCTTAAGAAAATCCCGAGCTCTCACTCCTTTTATCGATTTTAATTGTTCCTGCCACTGTCTGTGCTGCAGTGGATGGAGATCCCCACTTCATTATAGAGCTTCCTGGGAGAAACGACTCTCTGTGCTTCAACATCAACAACGCACCGGGAACCATTTTCAATCTGGTCCGTGATCCAGAAGCAGGTCGGCAAACCAGTTCCAAACAGCCCGCCCCTCCAAAGTTTGACCTTTCCATCCTTTCTGCACTGATTCCCATCATCTCTCCTCAGGTGTTTTTGTCAACGGTCAGATCATAGGAGACAAGAAGATTCCTCCTGATGGGAAAATTAACACCTATTTTTGGCGTTTCGGCATCGTCCACCAGACTTTGGGCGTCAGTCTGCTGGTGACCACTCAGTATATCTCAGTTTCGCAGGACGGTAAAGACGCCAAGCTGCTGTGGACGGATACAGGCTCTCTCAAAGGACCCAAGTGAGTTGAAGCAGTTTATTGTTTTCACACCAGGAACTCGGAGTACGCTGAGCTCCTTGAACTGCTGACTTTATAGCAACTTGTGCCTGGTTTAGTTGCATGTTTTAAACAAAAACTATAGTTTGACTTTAGTTTGATCAGCTCCACCAAATCCTGTTTTTCGTCACCCATGTCTACCTAATCGTCTGTTTGTTTCCTCCCAGGAGACTAGCATTGAAGTAGGTCCAGTTGGGTTAATCCAGGCAAAAACAGGGATGTTAATTCTTTTTCAACCTACCGTTTCTGCTGTAAAAAAAACAAACAAAAAAAACATGTTTTTTTGTTTCCCATCAAAAGGAAAACCGTTGTGCTAAGGGAAAACTTTAAAAGCGTTCTTCAGATTATGTTAATTGTGACCGTCTTTGTTATGTTGTGTTCCAGCGTGGATGTTGTGGTCACTAAAGATGGCAGCCTGACTGTAACGCTAAAGGACTCCGTTAAGTTTGTGATCCTGCTCCACAAAGTGTGGAAGAAGCACCCCTACCACCGGGACTACCTGGGTTTCTACACCCTGGACACCCACCTGCTGTCCCCTTCTGTTCATGGCTTGCTAGGTACGGCATGATGGATACAGCTCTGGAAAAAGTTAAGAGACCACTTAAACTAATCAGTTTCTCTAATTTCATTTTTTATAGGTATTTGTTTGAGTAAAATTAACATTGTTCTTTTACTGACATGTTTCTGAAATTTCAAGCAGAAGTTTAGTGTTTATTTGCAGAAAATGAAATAGTCAAAATAACAAAAAAAGATTTTCTGACAAGATTAGAACCCGGGAATTGACAAGATTAGACCAGATTTAAATTTACTTACCTTGTGTTGTTTGAAAAATAAATATGCTTGCTTTAATCCGTCCTTCAGGCCAGTTTTACCACGGGATTGAGTACGAGGTGACAGATTTACGTCCCGGGGAATCTCCAGAGAAACCAGACGCCACCATGTTTGCAAAAGGACACCAGCTGAACGTGACCAGGTAAGTGAAGAGAGCGGAGCTGGTTGTCGTAAACGTCTGAATGCGATGCCGACCTGTCCTCCTGGATCCACACAGAGGCTGGCAGAGAGACTTCAGAAGAGACGTGAAGAACGGCGAGAATGTTCCCTGCTGGTTCATCCACAACAACGGATCGGGCCTCATCGACGGAGCGGCGGCAGACTACGCTGTGTCGAGCCTTTTCACTACGGTCTGAAAACAAGCAGCGTGTTCATGTGCGCTACTAAATGCGATCAAAATCAAGTTTATTAAAACAATGAGGAAATTCGGCTTGACACTCTTACAGAAAACAGAACTGTCTTTTTTTTTCTTTTTTTCTTTTTTTTTTCCAATATTGTGGCAAATTTCCAGGATTAAGAAGAACTTTGTTAAAAACACTGCTGGGTTAAAAATGAACCCAGTTTGGGTGACTTCCCCTGTTGTGGACAATTTCAGTACTTTAAACTGAATGAATTGTAGACTTTGTTTTTTATTCTGCTGTTAAAATAATCAGATTAGTAAACCAGACAACAACGAAAAATGTTAAGATAACAGGTTCATAATGTGCATTATGGGTCAGTTTTTCTCTTTGTTAACCCCATTTTATGTCTACATGTTGCCATATCATCATTACCTACAAAGTCCATTTTGTAAACGAAAACAAAGCATGTCACACCCGTGTCTTTTATCATGGCGTATCGGTTTATTTCTGGTATTCCTGATGACTTACGGAAATAATCACACAGATTCTCAGATCTCACAGATAATTTCATTGTGTTGTTTTACATTTTCTAGAGAATTTATACAACTACACCACATTTCCATTTTCTGTGGTTTGATCCTCACATCTGGCGTTTAATGAAAGATTATGACCCTCGATTAAACCAAAATAACTGATCGCATTATGGCGAGGGCGGGATGCATGGATGACATGTTTTTGTTTAAAATAAATCACTACACTACAATAAAACACATTCTAATTGTTTTGTTGTTATTTGGTTCATTTAGACAAGTAATGCAGATTACATGCTCCACGAAAAAAAAAAAAAAAGGTGAGATTTGCTTTATGGAGACTTATTCTAGGTTCCTAACTGAAGTGTGTAGGTTAGAAACAAAACCAGACTTTATGTATGAAGATGTATAAATAAAATTAAAACCTTATTTGTAGTTGTAAACATTTTTAGGCTGTCACTTATGCTACATTATTCTTGTCTGCCATAGCAAGGTTAGGTGTTGGTGATATTTACGACAGCCGTCATTTATTTAGCTTGATGAAAAGTTGGCAGCACTGAGTATGAAACAACCTAAACGGCAAAAGTACAGAATGGTACCAAGAAACGAGAAGTCTCCTTCTCGTTTCTTGGCTAATCTCATAGTCATAATTTTTGATTTTCAACTTCTGTTACAAAAGCACAAAACTTCTCGTTGCTCTTTGTGTGTGTGTGAGAAGTGATTATTGACATTGGGGGAAATTCTCTGTTTTAATGTAGGGGTCAAAGTTCTTACAAATGCTCTAGATTGTCGCTCTTTGATTTTGAAGAAAATCCTGTTTCAGTCATTTCTCGTGTTTGTTTCAGCTCTTATAAGCAGATCAAAACCTGCCAGAGGTCCAATACCCAGCATAATGAACTGGTGTTGCTCATTATACGACATAATGAGCAACACCAGCTCATAATTAGGTCGTATTGCAAGATCACGGCCTGATCTGTTAATACTCGTATTGTTCTGCAGCAGAATGTTTGTAACACTCTGCTGCAGGACAAACTGCAACCACAATGCCAAATAAAAGCTACATTGACAAACTGCTGTCTTCATTCAACCTGCAGCATGAATAGTCTTTATTCACGGAGTGAAAACATGACGACTTGAACATGAACCTTCTTGTTTGGACAGGATGAGCGTCCCCAGTATTCATCCCTAATCCCTGCAGACATACCATGTACATGAAACCACACACACACACACACACACACACACACACACACTCTTTGTTCAATAGGTGGAGGCTCCCTCTTTTTTCTTTCTTTTTTTTTAATGCACAGAGTGGGCGGAGTGATTTTTACAGGAAGACTTGATCCCACATGCTTCAAATTCCCTGCACATTTGTTTTCAGCTGTGCTGCCGCAGAGGCCCTCTTGCCTCCAGCTTCTTCCCAGGATGCTGCTGCTGTGGATTTGCATCTGTATCGGTCCTCTGGTTCAGGTCCAGGGAGGTCTGGTTGTTTCCAGGAGAGATGGCCTGAGACAGGTATTTACTCTGAACAACTTATGAAGCAATTTGTATTTTGTTTTATTCGCTTTTCTGCAAAGAAGCTTTGCTGTGTATTAGTAAAGAAATCTCTCTCTCTTTCTCTCTCTACACACACACATATATATATGGTTATGAAAATCTCTCACTCTCATTTTTGGGCATGCAGGCACTGATATGAACTGAACCGTTGCTGCTTAAGGACAGTTTACATTACCGCCTTCTGTTAAGGCGGTAATAATCACGTTGGCACTGCATGTGTTGCACCTCTGCAGATTCATGTTGTTCTACCAACCTAAAGAATGCTGACTTTCAAACCAAACCAAGCAATTCACTTTAACCCAATTACTAACTTGCATTTGTTCCTTTTCTTGCCAGAGCTGTAAAATCTTGATTACGGAGTGTAACGAAATGCCTGAATTCCTTTTGGAGAACGGAAAAACTTTCTGCAGGAATGCAACCCCATCAGTGTTTGTTTTTCATGATCTGTTTTCTGGAAGAAGTTCCCCGGCAGGGCCAAATATGCACACTAGCATGGTGAAAGTTTGCTGTAGTTCATCAACAATATGAAAGAAAAGCATTTAAGAAGAAGAAAAAGTTTTTTAGTACCCAAAGAATGGAGTCTACACGTACAGTGGGCATGTAATTGATGTTGATTATGTTTGAAACTCCCTGCCTCATTTTACTAGCATTGATTACATGCTATGTGTTTATACAGGCCTTTTCCCATCTGAGTCCTTGTTTATTCCTTTTGATATTCTCGCCTCAAGCACCTCTTCTAAAATCCATCTCTTTCTTTTAATTTCCTCAGTGCCCAGAGTCTGAGTCACCATCTCAGATTTGGAAGAAAATAAACTGTCTATGATCACATCCAGTCTATAACGTGGACTGTCCTTTCGTGCCAGTTTGACTTTTGCAAACAACATTCTTGTGCGTCTTCTACACTAAGCTCTTTGTCTGATCCTGGAACCAAACATAGGCTCATAGACACTCACATGTGCAGTATCCTCTGTACGCTGGAGTTGCTCACTGCACAAGAAACATAAAAACAGGAAATGTGTCGTCGTGTGTCAGCAGCAAACTAGGGGTGCCGACTACTCATTGGCAACACAACAGAAAACTTGTTCAAAGCTTAACAAATTAGGTTGCACAGTCTATCAGGTCCACTTCTCACAGTCTACTCCTTTCTCTCTGCAACACTACAGCTGGTTCGCCACAGTGGAGCTTAATATGAATGCTCAGGCTAGTTAGCACTGCCACCCGCTAAGGAGTAAGTTGTTTCTCCGCCATTAGCACATTTAGCTACACATACGTAAGCTTGATTGGCAGCGCTAAGACCTTCCTTCTGGCTCTGATTGGTTCTAACGATTTGATTTCCGGACAGCAGAGAAGACAATCCACAGCAACATATCCGTCCTGTATGACATCGTCTGCTGTTGGCAAGCACTGCTAATCCACCTTATTTGCTTTTGCAGATTCTCGTTAAATCCCTGAGTGGTTAGAAAGCCGAGCAGAGAGACGTTGGAGTAGGGGATAATTTGACTCAACACCAAAAAGAATTCACACCATCGTTTAAAAAAGGTTTGATCTGGTATCAGATCTGGATATCTGTTACGTCCACCAAGGGCTCAACATATTTCAGGACACGAGACAAGAATGAAGGTTCCACAAAATATTTTATTCTTAAACTCTCTTGAACTTTAGTTTTTATTTTGTTCAGCTGCTTCGGATTTTCTGTGAAGAAAAAGAGAGTTAAATGCCCTCAGTTTCCTGCGTCCCCCCCAAAAAAAGAAGAAAAACAAAACCCCAAAAGTATTAACAGAAAGTTGGACCTGGTGAGCCGATCAAACAGAACAAAACGGTACAGCAGGGGGCCAACCCTAAACAGGGCCATTGAAGCCCTATTATTACTGGACTAAAGCAAAAAAGAACCCAATACAAAAGAAAGATCGAAACCAGGACAACCGGTCCCACCAGCCACCAGGCCAAAATCACAACGAAAAAGCAAGCAAACAAAGGCTAACAGAAATACCGCATGGCAGGCTGGAAACGTCAGCTGCGGCCCACAGCGACTGGACGTGCGCGCACCGCGTTAAGACGCGTCCCCGGTGGTGGTGGAGCGAGTGGAAGGGCGGAGATCCAACCTGCCGAAACCCAGCCACAAATTAACAGCAGTGCCACAAATTAACGTAATCAAATGACCAAAAATAAGAACTTATCCAAACTCCAAAATATATTAACAAAAGGTCATTCAACTAAAGTCTATAAGAAAAAAAAAAAGGAAAAAATAGACAAAAAAATATCATAATGTGCCCGAAGCACATAACAATATCCCAATCACTTTCAGCTACCGATTCCTTTGTAGAGAGTCTGAAAACTTGCTGCGCCACCTGCTGTAAATATCTGGGAAATGTTCATGTTTAATGCCAAAGAGTGAGACATTTCTGGTTCACCGTGTTTTTCCTTGCCTTCAGGATGCCAGAGAAGTTACAGGATCCAGTTCAATAAAGGTAATCATCTACATGAGCTATAATTAAATGCATACATAAGCAACCATAACATCTCTTCGCAATTTCTCTCCCACAGAAAAGAAGTGCAGACAGGAAACATGTAAGACACACAGATTATTATTTCTGTCGACATTTATGTTTGGGTGAACTGTGAAAGATGTAAATAGATTATTATGATCCAAACTGCTGTGCTTGTTCTGTCTTTGCCCTTAAGACGTTTCTCTCTTTTTCTTTTCTGACTCGTTTGGTGAACGACGTAAACAAGCAGAAAAACTGGGGATATTTTCATTGCTCTGTGTTTACACTGGTGACTTAGTTTTGTTTACAGACAATTTATTTTCACATGAATTTGGTCAAGAGGTCAGAGGGCAGAACACAATAGGTCGACCCTCGTCTTGACCACCAGCCTCTTCTCATGCTGTGTTTTTACCACATCCGTTTATAGAGTCTCAAAACATTTAGCGTGCAAAGAGCTGCCACGAGAAAAAGAAAAAAAAATCACATGCTCTGTGAAATTATAGGAGCAGAATAACAACAACAACAACAACAAAAAGTTAGTTTCTGGTGATGTTTTAAAATGAAAAACAACCGCAGAAGAACAAGAGCATGGCACATTAAATTCAATTGTCTTCACCAGATATCAAGATGATTGAGAGTCCGTCATTCTTTAGTAGGTGTACCTTTTTTGTAAGAAGAAAACGACAAAAATGACAAAAATAAAAGATTGCGGTCTCAGTTGGGTTCAGACAGAATCTTTGACAAACAATTTCCCAAGGCAATTAACACATTTTAAGCTAGGTAATGCTAGCTAAAGCCTTCAACAAAACAATGGAAGAGCTTTATTTCAAAAATATCTTTCTTCTTTCCTAACCATGTTACCTTTCGTGTTCTTGAAAAGGTGGAAGTGAACAGTGTAAGAGTTGCCTGCACGGTGACGTCCCGCTTCGCCCGCACCGTCGTGACCTCCAAGGCTCTGAACGCGGCAAACGCCTCCCAGGAAATCGGCTTTGAAATGGATCTGCCGAAGACCGCCTTCATCACCAGCTTCAGCATGTCAGTCAGAGCTGCGGCTCCGTACGGCAAGCCGTTGAAAAGGTTCCAACAAGTGAAACTTTTGACAAATCTCACCGTGTCTCTCACAGGGAGATGGACGGTCACGTCTACGCTGGAGAGGTGAAGGAGAAGGAGAAAGCCAAAAAGCAATATGAAAAGGCTGTCTCCAAAGGGCAATCTGCTGGACTTGTCAAGTACGCGGCACTGGGGAAAATAAAAAAGATGGCGAGAGAATGTAGATGTTTGAACATTCGTTCGTTAAAAACATCTATTTCCCCTGCAACAGGGTCTCTGGGAGAACGATGGAGCAGTTTTCCATGTCCGTCAACGTTGCTGCGAAGAGCAGCGTGACTTTTGTTCTGATCTACGAGGAACTGCTTCAGCGGACACTGGGCCAATACGAGATTGTGACCCGAGTTAAAGTGGAACAGCCTGTGCAGGAGTTTCAGGTTAGAACCTCTTCTCTTTCAACCAAAGAAATGTCTGGAGAGCCAAGGCATTGTCAGGTTTTAGTGGTATTCCTCAGTGAAACGTGTGAGCTTTTGTTTTTGCGTGACAGATTACAGCGGACATCTACGAGCCACAGGGCATTGCTTTTGTTGAAGCTACGGCAACTTTCCTCACCAATGAGCTGCTGAATCTTGTTGAGAAAACCACCACAGACACAAAGGTGGCAGGTTAAAACGTGGCCCTGACCTTTAGATTAACACCAAATTGTTGTTTCCAAGTGACGTGATTTTCTTTTTCTCTCAGGCACACATCTCTTTCTCACCAACAGCGGAGCAGCAGAGGTGTGCCCAGTGTCCACAAGGCTTGATTAATGGAGATTTCATCATCAAATACGACGTGAAGAGAGAAAAAGGCTTTGGGGAAATTCAGGTTAGTTAGCATCACTTCTTTTTTTTTTTGTCTCAGTATGTAAGGTCTGAACTCAATTAATGCATTGATTTTCATTTGATGTCCTATTTACTTCCAGGTTGTGAATGGATACTTTGTGCACTTTTTCTCCCCCCCTGACTTGGCCAGAGTCCCAAAGAATGTGGTGTTTGTAATTGACAGGAGTATATCAATGGAAGGAAAGAAAATGGCTCAGGTAAAATAGGACAAAAAGCAAACAACTAAAAGGTTCACAGCCCATTAACTTTTTCTCGTATTTTTTTTTTGTTTTGTTTTGTCGCATTACAGCCAAAAACCTTCTTGTGTTTTTCATAGTGCTATCATAGACCAGTACAAACAGTAGTACATCATTGTGAAGAAAGAAATTTACTTGCCGCAAAAAGCTACTGAAAGTTGTAGATGAGACATGAGCAGAGTTGCATGGGAAAGGAATAGCCAAGGCTGGTTTATCACGTAGAAATCCAGCGAGGTTTTGTGCTGTAATGTGACAAAAAAACCCCCAAAAAACATATCACCTGCGATCAAACTGAGAACTTTTTTCAGACTCGGGATGCGATGGTGTCCATTCTGAAAGACCTCCACGAAGATGACCACTTCGGTATCATCCAGTTTGATGACAGCATCAGTAACTGGAAGGAGCATCTCACCAGAGCAACAGAGGAAAACATTTCAGCAGCCAGCCATTTTGTCAGGAGCATCAAAGCACGTGGAGGTGCAAACAATTTTTCATGTCAATAATGAAAAAATTACAAAAAATATATATTTTTGGAAGTTTTCTAAGTCTTTTTTTTCAACTGAATTAGGACTATTTTGCAACCCTGAATCCAAAAATGACATCCATTTTTTTCTCAATCAGATCTCAATTTGATTTAGAGAAACCTGATCTGACAAAATTTATGAGATTTTTGTAACATTATCGGTTCATTTCCGTTAATATTTCTCATCTAAAAAAAGGTTTTAAGAGAAAAAAAATATTTCTAACAGAGTGTATTAATTAAATGTTACAAACTTGGATTTCTGTAAACTGAATAATAAACACTGATGGGGGTAAGTACATGTAAATTGAACATTACGTCTTCATAGTGTATAAGTCTCTGTCTCTTTCCTGTCCTGATGGAGTCTCTCCTCCTGCTCGTCACTCATTGATCACAGATTCTCAGGAAACCGATCCAGATGTGAGAACAAGTCGTGCATGTTGATGCTCATGTTGCATCCTTAGTTCAGAAAGTTGACCTGAATGAGCAAAACCAATGAGATTTTTGGATTCAGCTCATCAAAATTACCCTAAAACAGTTGAAAAATCTCAGACAGTTTTTTCTTGACTGTTGACCAGTGTAATTCTTCATTCCAATGAACTTTCATTGAAATAAATTAGACTTTTTCATCTTCCCATTGCTCATAGCATTCTCTTCTGTTTTAAACACTCTGCAGCCCCATCGTTTCTTTACCTCAGCTTACAACAAAACCTTCTTCGTGTTCTTCTCTTTCAGCTACGGACATTAATGCTGCTGTGTTGAGTGCAGTGAACATGCTGAAGAGAAAAAGGCAGAACGATAACGTTCCAGAGAGAAGCGTGGACATGATCATTTTACTGACTGACGGGAATCCAAGCTTTGGTGAGCTGGGACTTATTAGCTTATCTTGTAAACATGAATGAGTACACCATTTCCGACAGAAGCCATACAGATTTCATTGCTCATTTTTGGTTTAATTCCACTTCTCAAAAGTTGGAGACACATCTTGCAAACTCTACCAAGTTTAAAACTATTGTCTTTACAAGATGTCTTTTCATTTTTAGGAGAGACTAGTGCTGAGAAGATCCAGGAGAAAGTCCGCTTGGCCAATGCAGGGGCCATGTCTCTGTTCTCCCTGGGGTTCGGTAACGATGTGGATTACTCGCTCCTGGATGTGCTGAGCAGGGAAAACAAGGGAATTGCCAGGAGAATCTTTGAGGGTTCAGATGCTGTGGTCCAACTCAAAGTAGGATGAAGAAGAGTGAACGCTGAGCAGATTGTGGAGGATGAGGGGAAATGGAGAACGTACAGCAGAATCTGAAGTCTTGCCTTCGTTGCAGGGTTTCTACGAGGAAGTGTCCAACGTTCTTCTTTCAGAGGTGGACCTGCGTTATCCTGACAATGCAGTGAGCGCTTTGACTAAAAACCGATACAGCCAACTCTTCAGCGGCTCAGAAATTGTGGTGGCAGGACGGCTGAATGAAAACGACGTGGAGAACATTCTGGTTGAGGTGTCTGGCCAAGGGGTGAGAAATGGACATGAAGCAATAAAAAAAAAAAAACATATTACTGGAAGAGGTGTTGCATTGTATAGCAGCTCTTTGCTAACGTGCCACTTCATATGTATCTTGAAAGGCTGAAGGGGACCTCCACAAACAGTGGAAGGCAGATGTGGTGAGCTGGGATGTGGTGTACCCAGACAAGGAGTACGTCTTTGGTGATTTCACTGAGCGTTTGTGGGCTTATCTCACCATCCAACAGCTGCTGGAGAAGAGGTGCGAAGCACTTTTGTCCTTAAACTTTAATATGCTAGCCTAACAAGCCAGTCAGATAATGTTTTTATGCCATGTTTATATTGCGATAAACATGGCCAGGGTGTACCCCGCCTCTCGCTGGAAACATTCACTGGAGATAGGAACCAGCACCCCTCCTGACCCCACTAGGGACAAGGGTGTAAACTAAAGAAAATGGATGGATGGATGGATGTTTATATTGTGGATAAACAGTGTCTTGTCAAATTAATTTTGAAACTTAATTTTGACTAATTTTAACCACAAACTTGAATGTGTGGTCATGAGAACTTGTTTGACAGGCTAACACAAAGTGGTACATAATTGTGATGTGAACATAACACAAGTTTTCTTTTCTTTTTTTTTCAGTTGTTTTTATTTTGTTCGTTTTGTTTCTTGCTGAAATTTCTGCCCTCCTCCTACAACCCCTTTCTTTTTGTGCGTGGTCATTCATGCTACTAAACAAACGCGACCGTAGTGAGACTTCCGTGTGAACGGTTTATGTCCCCAAAGCGGCCCGCATGCGCAGAGGAAGAATGTTGACGCACTGTTTACGGAAGTAGCAATGGGCGTAGCCGTCCGCGAATCGATTTTAAAGCTTATTCAGCAATGGGAGCCGACAGTGTTGTCACGATATCACAACAACATGAAGGAAGCTAGCAAAAAGAAATCACAACTAATATTGAGGACCTTTTGTGGAGCGTCGACCACATCTTCTGTAGGGAAGTTTGTTTAGATGTGTAGTCAGAGCCAGGAGTGGTTCGACACCGATGTGATGCGATCACAGTCATAAATTCCAGCCATTGTTTACATCTCGATTTACCGTATCTGACTTTTTCCGGTGCAAATTTACGACACATGTCTCACGTATAAGGCAGATAAAATGCCCTCTCATTAGGCATTATTAGGCAATAACATGTATGCCAGTCTCATATTTTTCCCCCCTCTTCCAGTGATATTAGTCCTCAGTCGGAAAAAGATGAAGCCATAGCCAGGGCTCTGAACATCTCTCTGCAGTACAGCTTCGTCACGCCTCTCACCTCCATGGTGGTGACCAAGCCTGAAACCGAGGACACAGGAAGGAGTCCCTCCATTGCTGATAAACTGACTGAAGGTCATTTATTAGAGGCAGTTTAAAAAAAAAAAAAAACTTTTTTCATGATGCCAAAATAATTGGATGTTTTCTGAATGTTTCCTTGTGTTTCAGACCAGCGTCAACAGGCGGAAAGAAATCGAGGTAAACTTCCTGTTCACATTTTGACGGATGTAATGGTATGAAATGTTCTTTTTGAAACATATTTGTATATAAAATGATGTGCGCTTTAACCTACGTCTCAGGCCCTACTGCTGCCAGTCGTACCAGAGCTCGAGGTGTGGGGGACGGTAAGCTTTATTGTGGTACTGTTTAATGTGTGTGCTGGAGTTTAATATTTTTGCAAACTGATTTACTTATTTTGTTTTTCGGATCATCTAAAAATGACCTGGAAGCTATTTTTCTATGAAGCCTTTGAGCTACTAGTGCAATATTGTATTAGATCCACTAGTTAATGGGGATATTTATCACTTCTTATACAGTTAAAACCGGATGTTTAGACTAAATAAAAATTCACATTATCTATTTTTTTTCTGTGTGACATTCAATCAAAATAAATGTTTTGTATTTTTATTGGTGAATTTACGACATTTGAGATAAATGGAGGCACATGGATGTATTTTTCGGCTCAAACACATGCAGCATCGTACCGTTCAGAGACCGGTTCTGATTTTCAGAAATATCAGATTAACCCCCAGGACAAAATCACAACACCATAGGACGATTCTAGAAATTATTTTGTTAATTCTAACTAAGGAAAAAATAAAAAAAAAGTATTTTTATACATTGTATGTAAATATATGGTCTTTAACTTTAACACATTAGAGCTGTTTCTGCAGTGGACGGAGATCCTCATTTCATAATTGAGCTGCCAGACAGAGAGGACGCTCTGTGCTTCAATATAAACGACAGACCGGGAACCGTTTACAATCTAGTCAGAGACCAGAAATCAGGTCAGCACTGTGCATTCTTCTAAATCACGTTTCCTTCCTTGAGATAATTGAAGGAACAAGAAATGAATCATGTGCATTACTTTTCAGGTTTTGTAGTGAATGGCCAGATTGTTTCCAAGAAGACATTTACCCCTCAAGCCAAGAACAACACATACTTTGGTCGTTTTGCTGTCACCCACAGAAAGCTGGGGCTGCAGCTGGACGTGAGCACTGACCATATATCAGTTTTCCACAATGGCAAGCATGTTAGGTTGCAGTGGTCTGATACGACCTCCGTGAAAGATGACAGGTGAGTAGCATTGCTTTGCAATAAATTCTCTCACTCTCTGGCATAATTAGTTTTTTGTGTTTCACTTTCACTGTCTTGCTTTTAGCTAGGTGCCCCAATTTTCTTCCTTTCTCTTCCAGTTTGGACATTAGACTGACTAACAGCTGCAGTCTGACTGTATCGCTGCGGCACACAGTTAAATTTAGGATCATCAGACACACAAAGATTTGGAAGAAATACCACGACCAACAAGACTATCTGGGTTTCTACACCCTGGACAGTCACCACTTATCTTCCTCAGTTCATGGACTTCTTGGTTAAGTAACTACATTAAGACTTTATATTGTGGTGCAGTAATACTGTACTTGTTGAATCTTTCAATAAGCCTTTAATCACACTCGACAGGTCAGTTCTACCATGGAGTTGAGTTTGAGGTGACAGATTCGCATCCAGGAGAAGTGGAGGGAAATTCAAATGCGATAATGTACATAAAAGGCCAAACCATCAATGTGACCAGGTAAATTTTTTTCTTTTTGTAAAACGGGACTTTGAAAAAAAAAAAAAAGGGACTAAAGAATTATTCTTTTTAATTTTTCTTAATTTTAAATACTCTGAAGGCACTGGGAGAAGGATTTCAGCAGGGATGTGAAAGCGGGAAAGAACGTCCTCTGCTGGTTCGCGAACGATGACGGACACGGCCTCATCGACGGATCAGCGTCAGACTACACTGTGCCTCACCTTTTCACTTTTTAAATCTTAGAAACTCACCATATCTGCAACATGTAACATCATTGGTCTAAGGTGGTAAAATACTGTGGGTTTTGAATTTTCAGTTGTAAATCATTATGCAATTAAAACTTCTTTGTAAGCTGTGCTGCAGATCGCTGCAACATAAGTTATGCACTATTGTCTAATGCTAACGTTTACTGATTTGTTTGTTTAGAAGTGTTTGTGCCTGGTTTAAACTTTTTGCTCATGAGGCATTCAGTGGTAGTCATCTTTGGAAAGAAACTAACTATTGGCTTTGCGCAGTGTTTTTTACCTCTTTGGTAAAACCATAAGCTTCACATAGCTCACAGGGACTCTGTCGTCACTATTCCCTTTCTGTTAACAAATAAAAGTCTTCAGAGTGTGGAATTCATTTGGATTTAATCCATTTTACAATGATTCTTCAAAATAGATTCTTTGTGTGTAACTGCTTTCAGAAATCAACAGAGTAAACTTGTGGGTAATGTATACAGCTGTGAAGGCAAGGTTCTTCACTAAAACAGCGTCTGCCTTTATCTACTTAAGTGAATATTGGTTTATAAACCCATTTTTGCCATTTTTACTGTATTTCTTTAACTGAAATGAACAAATACTTAAGTCTTCTTACACTACAATCATAAATTGATAACATTTGTAGATTTTTAAGTACTGAAATTCAGGCCAGTGCTGATGTTTCCTTTCTCAACAATTTGAGTCAGAAGCAGAAAGTGAGTTGCGTATATGTTCCACTAGGGGCAGAAGTGAGGCAAAACTAATGCATTCCCACGTTTATTTAAACAGAAGACGGCGGTTGTTGATTGTATGACGTTTATAAGCTTATTTTTGTTTTAACAAGAAAAAAACGACGAAAACCGAGTGCTATATCTAAATATTTTAGAAAAGTCCTTAAATTAAAGTTGGACTAAGTATTAAATTAGCTTTTGTAAGAGCTAGCTCTTTTGCAACCTTATAGCATTGAAGACCGAACCGTTTCTTAAAGACACTAATGCGGAAAAGAAAGTTAATTTCACTCAAAATATTCGTATTATTAGGATATTTCTGTTTGTTGCCTTTTATTAAATCGTAATGCGAGGAAAGTGATTTGTTTAACAGGTAGTCCTCTTCTGACACACCCGCTGCTAATTGAACAGGAAGAACAGTGAGGTATGTTTTTTTCAGTGGTTTAATGAATACGTTGCTACAAGGAGCAATGTACCTTTCAAGGAGGTAAAATACAAGATTATTAATATGAACAATATTTAGAGACGAGCTTGAGTTATCTTAGTTAAATAATTCAAAAAGTAACCAAGTTACATTCAATATACAGTGTGATATGTTTTAAGCCTCTTAATTCATTTAGGTTATGGCTTAGTTCAGTTCAGTTTTTCTAAGACACAAAATTCAGTGTCTTAGAAAATTGTAATATTAAAATGTTTTAACATATTCTTGTTTATTGACCTGTATATCTGTCTACATTTAGGGCTTCTCAATATCAAGAAATGTATGACACTGTTGCTGAAAATTGTGATATATTAATTGTGATTAACCAATAATTTTCTAACTTATTCCTTTTGACCACACATGTTCCCCCCATCTTCTGAGAACTTTAACATTTCAGACACTGAGAACAAGAATCAGACATTAAGGACATGTATGGGTGTAATGGTAAATGCATTTGAACAGAAAATATTTTCTAGAGCTAGAGAGTTCACACATATACTGAACTAATACAGCGCCGTTTTATACCTGAAGATTAGCCCGATTCAACATTTTGTGGTACAACTTTAAAAGGTGACGGGACCTGGGATGTCCCGTCACCAATATGGTTGGGAATATTAAGGATTTTCATTCGTCTGCAGTGGAAAAACAAGCAAAACTTTCTGTCAGTGTCTGCAATAGCTCTCTCTGCACTTAACTGAAGAACTCACCAGACACATGAATCTGACTGTAGACATGCCTGATACTGGGGAAAAATCATCTAAAGTCCATTGTTGTAGGCTACAACATGAATTCAATCATTTGCTATAGTCACGTAAACTATTAATTTGAAAAGAACAATATCTCTTAATCAGTTTTATTTCATTTGTTCCTTTTGATTGAAGTGAACCAAAAATGTACCAAACCATGACTGGAAAGTAGGGATGCATGATATAGTGGCACTAACATCAGTATCTGCCGATATCAGTCATTTTTTAATACATCGTATCGGTCAGATAAGTAAAACTGATATCAACTACCGATATTTATTTCAATCTTGCCAAAACTCCGACGACTCTTGAAGTACTCCTTAGTACGTTGCTAAGTAGAAAAAGTGGTGAACTGCTGTTTAATGCTTGAAATCTTAAGTAAAGTTCATTTTGAAACCAATGTCCCAGATTGGAGGAAAAAAAAGATGAAGAACCAAATCCAAGTTGCTTGATGTTAAACAGGAAGCCTCCACAGTCAGTGAGGATTTTGAGGAGCCATGTCAGCACAGCCATCCACCGGGAATACTTACCTCTGCTTTCAAGCTTTATGGAGATGCTGATTTCGTTTTCCAGCGGGATTTGATCGCTTTCCATACGAACAAATTTACTAATACCTGGTTTGAAGGCCGTGGTACAATTGTACTTGATTGGACAGCAGACTGAAGCCATTAAATGACATTTCTGTGTCTGTACGTTGAATTCTTGACACTTTACTGAATGCGTGTTTACATGTCAGGCTGGGTCTGAGCAGGGAACCTAAATCTATTATGTGTGTGCATGCATGAGGAAACTCCTTGTACTCCTCTGTCCTATTTCATAGCTATGTGTGAGCTGTAGTAGACACAGGGCAAGTGTGTTAACCTCAGTCATGTCGGAAGTTCAGGAGTTGAGAGGGATTTTGTGGTGGTGGTGAGGGGCGGGTGGTTCTGTGCAGAAGTGTTTGACTGTGTGCATCTGTCTCCTTGTATGTTGGTGTTTTTGCAAGCCTTGCTGATTAACAGCAGATGTGGACAGGCTCTGGGTGTCGGGGGGCCAACTTCAGAGGGCCCCCCACTGTAATAAGTTTGGGCTCTGTTGTAGAAAATGGCAGCCTCTTCACACATGAGTGATATTATTGTTTGCTGAACACACTCTTAACCCCAGCAATATTGGAAACGAGGAAAAAAAAAAGTCAGTCTGAACTTAAAGGAGGAGTGGATGATTGTTTTATGGGAGGACGTCCATGTAAGTCTCCTGCTTGTCCAGCAGAGGGCATAAGAGAGCTGTTAAACCAATTTCTGCCAGTGCCGCTGGAATTGTGAAGGTCCTGCTGACTGGATTGACTGCATTAACTAATTTTACTCAAATTACAAAAAAAATATTTTATTTCATTAAATGAGTTACTTTACTGTATTAACTAACCTTGGAAATTACGTTTTAGACAAACATCTGAGTTCATTGTAAAACAGTTTTTAGAAACTGGCTTGATTAAACATTTGATCAGCATCACATGTTGGTCATATTGCTATTTTTGGCTGTCTACTCTTAACCTGATAACAGCCTCATGAAGACTGAAGGATAGCCTCGATTTGATATTGTCAATGTAACAACCAAGTGTTAGTTCAAAGTTATGCCGTTACCGTCACTGATATTTCTTTGTTGAAATTGTCCCTGTCTGGCTAATTACTGAAAATTGTTACCTTATTAATTATAAAACAAATACATATTTACACCTTCATATTTGCACTAATTCCCCTTACCCCATGCTTTCTTTTTTTATTTATTTTTTTTTTTTTAAGAATGAACCAAAAGCCATAAATAAGCCAGAATTTGCCCTCCTCCTGCAGGGAAGTTTCTCTTAAAATATCACTGTTTTTACATTATATTACTTCATGCCAGTTCTTCTTTTCTAAGTTACAGTTTGACAGTTTTAAAACTTTCTCCTCCAGCTTCCTGTCTGTGAGTTTTTGCCTCCCAACCCGCACGTCTCGCTACCTTTTGTCCCCGTATGAATATTTCACATTGCTGCTGCCGCTGGTGCGTGATGCGGGGCACTGAGCGCTCATTGTGTGAACGCAGTGTGGGTGCTGCGGTATGCAGCCTCTTGCCGTGCAGTGTGTCGTGACAGGCGTGTGGCTGCTGACGCCAGCCGGCCGCCTGTCGGTCTGTCCGTTTGTCCATCAGCTCAGTGACACCTGACCGTTGATTACATTGTTGCACACACACGCAGACATCGGAGACCAGGCTGCATGTTTTTTTCTTTGTGGACAAAGTTCTCTGTTCACATTTGTCACTCGAGGGTGACACAGATCTATTATGTTGCCTTTACTACATAGGTGCAATGCTACTGAAAATGAAATTTAGACTTTGTTAGTAAAAAAAAAAAAAACACAAACATGAAAATGACACAAATGGATAACTGAAAGTTAGAATTTGAAATTTACTATTGTAATTTTTTTTCTGAATATGTTAAAGTTACAAGGATCTGGCAACAACAATAACACACTTTATAATTTTTCACATTTTATTTAAAAACACATTAAACTAAACTTTAATGTGTTTCATTTGGATTTTGATTGGTGGAGCCATGCAAAATGGCACATGAATGTGAAGTGGGAAGGAAAATGAAACATGCTTTTCTGGACAAAAAAATAAGATAAGAAAAAACTAAAAAGGGTTGTGTGCAGCCTCCTTTAGTCAAAACAATAACAGCTGCACGTCTTCTGGGGTATGTTTCTACCAGCTTTGCCCCATTCTTCTGTGCAGAATAGCTCAAGCTCAGTCACACTAGGTGGAGAGCAACGCAGAGCAGCAATTTTCAAGCCTTGCCAAAGATTTTGAATTGGATTTAGGTCTGGGCGTTTATCGTTATCCACGAACATGCTCTTATGTTACAGACCACATCGCAGCTCAGGCTGTATGATTTGCATTGTTGACCTCCTGTGAGATTAACCTCCACACAAATCTCAAATCTTTTGCAGCCTCAAATGGATTTTCTTCCAGGATTGCCCTGTCTTTAGCTCCATCCACCTTCCTGTCAATGCTGCCCATCCTCCCTGCCCCCCTCTGATCAAAAGCTTTGCCACAGCATGATGCTGCTACCACCATATTTCTCCGAGGGGACAGTGGGTTCATTTAAAAGAAAAAAAAAAAAAAAGTGAATTTTGATCTTATCTGATCCCCTGGTTGAAGCTCTCTTTACTTGGCATGTCAGCTTCGGATGGTCACGTCTTGATAGGTTTGCAGTTGTGGCAAACCTGTCAAGCATTTCAGATGGCAAGAAATGCTTCATGAGACGTTTGAAGGTTGGCGTATTATCTTAGAACCTGACTCTGTGTTAAGCTTTATCTCTCAGCTGTTTAGTTTGTCCCTTGGTTTTCTTTGTGATGCTTGTTCTTTAATGTTTTCCCTCAAACCTCTGAGGCCTCCACAGAACAGCTAACA